CCGTTTTTGTTCCTCGTANATTGTGATTTGAATATTTGCTTTGCATTTGGAAGCATCGACCGCATTAAACCCATCTTCTTCTTTATTTTTGAATGCAACTTATCAAATTGAGTAGGTAAGAGATATTTGAAACTAGTGACTTCACTGACTTGATAGTCAAGGAGGAGGAGAAGTTTCTATTTATAGTAGTAAACATAAAGTATGTAACTTCAAGATAAGGAAAATACTTAAATGCTAGAAATAACAGTAAGATTGTGATATCTTAATCACTAAAAAAACCCCAAAAGTTGTGGGCTATTGGCCCTCCTCATCCATCTGGCTCACATGTCTTAGCTCATCTTTTTATATAAACATATATACAATAAAACGCACATAACGTACGTTTCTATATGATTGCCAATATATAAAAATTGGGTATTATGGATATTTAATTAGAGCGTTGGGGTCAAATTCCACCCAATAGAATCAATAGTTTTGAAGAATAAACTAAGTATGGGGAACGGCGGGCCGTAATTTCAACCGGTGGGCAGCAGTTTCAACCGACGGCTGCAGTTTCAATTGGTGGGCCACATTTTTAACCGGTGGACAGCAGTTTCAACCGGCGGGCTGCAATTCAACCGGCAGGCCACAGTTTCAACCGGCGGGCTGCAGTTTCAACCGGTGCTGCAGTTTCAACAGGTGGGCAGCAGTTTCAACCGGCGGGCTGCAGTTTCAACCGGCATACCGCAGTTTCAACCGGCGGGCCGCAGTTTCAACCACCGAACCGCAGTTAAAACTAACAAGCCGAAGAGTAAAGCGGCGATTCGTTGGGCCTTTGTCAAAGTGGGTCGATCCAAAGTAAACTCAAGACAAGCCCAAGAGAGCTAGCCGACTTAGGAGTTAGCCGCGACTTAAGAGTTTTCCGCGAATAAAGGAAAATCTCTAAGGAAAAGGAAGTTATCCTTATTGATTTGGGATTAGCCCTAACCGACTTAGACTAGTATATATACACTTGTACATCCTCCGCAGAGGGGATCGAAAATTCATTAGACAATCTCTTGTATTCTGAAACAGTTTTCTTAACAGTTTAATAAAAAACTCTCTTGAGATCTATATGTTTTAGTGGTTCTCCGCAGAAATTTTCAAATCCTAGAAAAATTAATAATACAAATTCTAATTGTGAAATTCGACTTCCACAAATCTCGAAATGGTGAATAGTGTGACCTGGGTCAGACTAAGTGGGTCCAGTTCTTGAGCCCTTCTAGCAATGGATCTATACATTTGAATCAGTACGTATAAGTCTTTAAGTTCACTCTCAAA